CAACAAAAGCATTCTGCAAGCTCAGCTCTAGCAAGCTGAGAAATACATTAGCCAATACACAAAATATTTTCAATAGTTTGAAATACAGAAAGTATTTCAATCCTGAATACTTATGGGGAATTTTATTTATTACATTTGTAAGGCCATCCAATTCAGTGACTCTGAATGGTGGACAATAACTATCAAAAGATGAAGTGATACAGAAGGTTTGAAGTGACACAGAAGGTTTGGCATACCAACACAACAGCAAGAGTACTCTTGAGGATCCCACCATCTAAGATAACCCAAAACCTGTGAGAAAAAATATGTTTTAGGAGCTTTTTTGAATTAAATCAGGATGGTGGCTAGACAAATCTTAGAGGGTATGCTCTTCCAGAATGGAGGAGCAGTGACAGAGAAGGCGTGCTTCCAGGGTCCCATTAAAAGACATTGTTTTATCACTGGAGCATGCTAATACTGTCAGACTGAATAGGATGGGCAGATGGCCCCTTAAGCAATTAGACTCTGGAGGCTTCTCATGGTAGAAACCCATTTTTTAAAATTATTCATTAGTGTTGATGCTATAAGACAGTTTTTCCCAACCTCACACCTTATAACCTAGGAATTTTAGGAATCATAGTTTTAAAATGTCTGGACAGTACCAAATTTCGAAGGACAGATATAAGAATTGAAAGAAAGAACTATCAAACTACTTCTATGAATTCATCTGGGCTTTACATTAGATCTTCATCAAAATAACTTCCTGAACAAAAAACAGTCCAACACCTGCAGAAGCTACTTCCATAAATCTTTTGTTTTACAATCGCATTTTTAAAAAAATTTTCAACATAGAGTTATAAAAAAACAGAAAAATGCTGCATACTCCAAGTATCTATAATCTACAAAATGTCACACTATCAATCCCTCACACTAAATAAGGCCACTGGGTATTGAACATGAAAGATCAATTGATTAAATGAAACTAGCTGAAACTGAATCTGAATGAGGAAAAGGTTATGCTGGTTAAGTGTAGGGAATGATTCACTGAATAATTTGTAGCTGTATTCATCTGAACAGAGAAAAAGATAGAGGCACCCTGTCCATTTATCATACATTAAGAACACTGTTCAAATGCCTTATTGAAAAGTACTTTGAAAATACTGCATCTGATTAGATAGACCTAGGTTGGGAGATTGTACATATGCATATGTATTGTATATCATTATATGGGATATAATGAACCATCCTTGGGTCACTGCACACTAAACAATTTGGGAGTAATGAACAGTGCTCACCTAGGACTGATTAGATTAAGGGCAATTTCACATAGCCATTTCTCCCATGTTGCACCTGGCTGATCCTGAAGCTGACTTTAAAAATTCCACTCTGGATTGCAATGGTTTGGCAACAGGGCCAAGTTGGTGCTCAATCTGGACTGAGGTTCTGATTGGTTGTTCCCCTCCTTTGAGCCCTTCCCATCCATGCAGGGAAGGCAAATCTCTATGGCTGGCCTCAGTGTGGATGGATATCCTGGTGCCTGGCTTTTTAAGGCATTTTTTTCTTTCCTCACTGTTCCTCATTCTTTTACTTTGCTTTCCCAGATGTTTTCATACACCCATGCCTTCACAACTCTTTCCCATATTCAGTGCTTTGACACTAATGAAACCCCTTTCTTTTTTTTTTTCTTTTCTACCACTTTTATTATTCCATTGTTGCTTTGATGCTGGAACAATTAAAGCAAAGGGAACAGGTTGTTCATTCATTTGTATGTTCTATCATAGATCCAAGGAAACTTTGCAGCAAGGAAAACTGATTGTTCAGCTTCATAGAAACAAAGTGGCATTTATTGAAATTTCAATTCTATGTGCCTACATTGCAACTAAATTTTTTAGAAAAAATAAAAGAAAGGGAAGTTTTGCAGTACTGTGTGCAAGGAGTGGGAAAGCAAGGGGAGCATGCTTCACCCAGCCTGGAAAGAAATCAAAAGGGTGCCCACTGGAAGATGTAAGGGTTGAATGAAGTTATGAGCTTCTAGAAGAGATAGGAAAACACAGGATGAGGAAAGTTCATTGGCTTAATGGACCATAATTTTGTTAAAAAATGGCAGCTGTCAACCACCAGAGCACATAGAAGTCTGGCGGTCCAGGACAAAAACAGCTGTACTGGGCAGCAGCCAGCTGCTGGAGGGGAGTTGGTATACTAGGTGCTGTAGCCAATCAGAGCTGTCACTAGACTGAAAGGAATCACTACAGAACTGCTTGGAAAACAGCAGGTGGGGGTGCATTTGTGATGGGCTGGGAGTGGGTGGAGGATGACCTTATCAGTTTCTGTACTCAAGAACTGGAGGCTGGCCCATACTGGTGATAGGGTAAGGAGAAAGTGCAGATCTGCCCTAAGATTAAAATCCCCACTCAGCAATGAAGCTACTGGGTATTTATTAATAAGAAAATGACCAGCTCTCATTTAAATTTTCTTCACAGGATTGTTCTGAAGATAAATTTGGGAGGGGGAGGGAGGTACTATACAAGTTATTTGGAGCTCCAGAAAGCAAAATGAGACCTGAATGCTACAAATAAAAAAATAAATAAAAATAATAATGTGGGAGAGAACTCTGGAAGTTCTAATCCAACATTATTGGAGGACGAGGAACTGGGAAAGACTCGTATCCTTCATGAATCAGAAGAGACTGATAAAACATAATACAATTCGTGGTTAAGGCTAAGAATGTATGAAGAAGCCTTCCAAAGCTGAAGTTGAATGACATGTAAGGGAGAACAGAGAGGGATAATAACCAGAATGCTGGAATGCTGAGTGGGAGTGTTTTCAGGGAAGAAGGAGGCAAACCTAACTTCCATTCCTCAAATGAAAAGAAGAAAAGAAGAAAGCAACAGAAGAACAAAAGAACTGAGAAGAAAGCCAGACCCCCTAGTCACTACTTTTATGGCAATTTAGGTAGGAGAATCAGAGGTATGTGAAGGAGAAATCAGGAACAAGGAGAAAGGGGGAGGGGGGAATAATAATACTCAGTAGACTTTGGCATTTGCAGCATTAAACAGACCTATCATTATATTTGCATGCCAAAAATTCTGTAAATTCTCAGATGTAATTAGGTAATTAAGTCAACTGTAAATCTAAGGATAGGTTGGTGTGTCTGGCCTACTATGAACTACTAACGTACTCATTTTGAAATATGCTTCTTTTTCCTCACAAGAAATTCAAACAAAATCTCTGAACAGAATAACCTAAATCATTGTATAATAAAATGCAGTGATTTACAAAAATGAACAAGCAAACAAAAATTCTGGTCAGTTAACAACTGTGATTGGGTTTTTATCGTCTAGTCTGGGAATAGCATCTTTGTTCATGCAAGACACCCCCACCTTGAGAGATGATAGTTTTCTCAATTGTTGTTTTAAGACTATCACTTTATATGAAAGCAAAAAAATCAGGCTGGAATTTAACCTAAGAGTTCATGTGAGAGGTACCCATTACTCATCCTCATGCAACCAACATTATGATGTGTCTCATTAAGTAATAGATTTGGGTGCATGGCTAAATTGTGTGGCTGTATGCAAAGTTGTGTGTTTGGGTTTAGGAGATGTAACTGTGACTGGGTTTTTATCATCTAGTCTGGGAATAGCATCTTTGTTCATGCAAGACACCCCCACCTTGAGAGATGAGGGTATGTATATGTGTGCACACATGTGGGGCTTTGTGCACACAT